TACAGTGCTTTATTTTTTCATTTCCTTGGGTAAACTGCTTTGCTGACAATAGCAAAGAAACTAGTCAGAGTATTCTGTCACTGGGAAGCCAGATGGGTCAGTTTTTTGCATAATCTTTGGAAGATCTCGAGAATATAGTTGAAGAACATTTGCCAGGATGTCTTTATTTTATGTCTGTCAGTGTCTTAAGTATCTCCACTTAGTTATGTCAAATCTGCTCCATTCTCCTTTACCAGAATTTCTCACATTATCGCCACATAGTGCCACACACTCAACTCTATCCTTGGATCTCTCCAGGAAATAACCTGTCTTGAGTGTTGGGCCCACATTATTACGGAAATGGCTCACTAACGTGTTTATCAATTTATCATGTACTAATCTCTAAGTTTTTATTTCTGAAAGGAATCGCTCTGGGAATAACTTAAAAACAGGCAAATTTCTCTCCAATGCTTTCCAACTTTCCAACACCCTTTCTTCCCCAACTCAATGTTTTAATATTTTCAGAAACCCTCAGTTACCCCATCATTCCTTTTCTATCCTTTGCTTTCAAACTAGACTTTTCTTCTCTTAGAGATCAAATTAGAAATAAGAAAACATAATTAAATCACTCGCAAAATGTGATTCTCTACCTTTGCCTAAACTCCTTCAATTTGCTAGTTTCTACTTAGCCGTTTCTAACCCTGACTTCGTTTTAGAATCACCTAGATTTTTAACAAGTGAATTTAATTGGTCCTGGATGGGGTTGAACAGGTGACTTCAACTTCAGCCTTTGTTGTTAAATCACTCAACCCAAATTCTAGTTAATGACTTTCAAAAAGTTAAAGAATAACTTTTCTCACAGGTTAGAAATATACTAAAGTCATAGTGTTTATTGGCTCTGAATAAGTAAAAGGACACAAAGATCGTAACAAAACTAGGAGAGGTGGAACTCCTGTAAACAACCTTATCCCATTGCTACCTTCAAATACATTTTGTAGGATCCATTAACCCCACCTCCTTGACAACATTCTGGTCAGATTCCATAGCTACAAGGCCCTTTTTTAAGTATCAGAAAGGTCTGTTCCCTCAGGCCCCCAAATTAGAACCGACGTATAGAAAAGCATCCCATCAGGGGAGGGGTAATAAACTCACTAGCCCTTCCACCTTCTGCAGGGAGATGGAAAGAGGCAAAACCCTGACACCGCCAGGACCTGCATCATTTTCTCTTAGCTAACACTGGCTGACCTCCACGCCCTCCTTTCTGGCAGGCCTCTCGAGAAGCTGGTTTAATTATGGGGTGCAAGTGTAGGTCCATGGTGACTCCTGAGATGACCCACTCCCAGACAGGCTGATGCTCCCTCGGGCTGATTTCTTACAGACCCACTCACCTTAGTTCCTGCCTCTACAGATGCTCTTCCCCTGACGACGGAGTTACGTCCCAATAAACCCATCGCAAATTTAAAATACCGTATGATATTTTAAATGCATTTAATACTCTTAACCTGCCGAACATTATAGCTCGGCCCAGCCTACCTTAAACACGCAGAACAGTGACACTGGCCCACAGTTGGGCAAAACCACCGAACACAAAGCCTGTTTTATTAAAAAGTGCTGAATATCTCATGTCATTTGTTGAATTCCGCCCCGAAAGTGAAAAACAGTGGCTGGCTGGTCACTCACCATCGACGCAGTCGGCTGAGCGCACGCCGGGCCTGAAGGCCGGCCCAGGCTCTGGAAAGACCAGGAGTCCAAGGGTGGTTGCTACCGAATGTTTATTGCTTCCCCGCCCCCAGCAGCTCTTTGGGGCAGTCCCGCCAAGGCCGCTCCCCAATGCCATGCTCGCGGCCCCTGGGGCAGGGAATGCCCGCCTCCAGGGCACTCAGCCGCCCCCCGCGGCCTCCTGTCTGTGCTGCGCCTCCTCGGCTTAAGCCGGGACCCCAGCTGTGTTCCTTCCCTCACTCAGCATATTGGGGTGTACACTCCATTCTGATGGGCTGAACCCAGCAAACATCCAACTGGGAAGAGACACCAGCCTCCTTCCTGAGAAACATCCCCATCACTAGCATGATTCCCAGCAATGTTTTTGTGGTTTTTTTAAAAATACGTTTTTTACTGATTTTTAGAGAGAGGAAAGTAAAGGGATAGAGAGAGAGAAACATCGATCAGCTGCCTCCAATCTGATCTCTTTAAAAAATACTGTACTATTTGGATAACCCAATATGAATTAAATATAACCCTTCCAAAACATTACTTTTGCAGTGTCAGGTATTTCACAACAAATTATCTGTAACATATATCCCACTCATATAACTATTTTATATCCATCTTTCATACATGGAAACGACTGTGTGAAGAATTTCAGTATATATTTCATAATGTGTGTGGTTTATATTGAATTAAATACATCTGTTGAGATACCACAAATCACTGGATTAACTAAATCACATTCACCAAGTTCAAAAGTACACACTGATTTCCCCTCTCCCGACCATCATATGTGCAAGTATTCATAAACAGACAAATCATATTTCAAAATCCGTACCATTTAATAAGATTAAACACTTAAAACACACTAGTATAAACAGTCTGATTTTTAAGAAAGGCACGTATATACATTTTGCACAACTGTTTACAATTTAAAAAATCTTGAAAGAAAATAGAGCTAAAATTTTATTTATATTTTCCTCCAATTTACATAGCTAAACCAATTGTACACAGTTCTCTCCCTGTATAAGAGTGTTATATTTGGATTTCCTACAGTAAGGAAACCAAAGGTTAAAATGAAAGTTTTAAGACATACGCAATTAATTACATACAAAAACCACAGGTCAATTTACAGATTCAAGCTTAAAAATCATTACAAATTGTGAAAAATACATATTATGAAAAATTTTGTTTTTAAAAGTAGCATAATACCAACCCGTATAAATCCAGGTGAATCCAAAAGTATAAACAATGTTTATAAATTACAGTAGTGTCTATACTGCCCTATCATGAAAGGAGGTATTCTTTGTAATTATGTATATTATAAATAAGAGACTGACTTCCTTCCTTCAAGTGCCAAAATTACTTTCACTTCAACCATTATTAAAGTTTGTAAAATGTATCATAAAATTGAGTACACAGAATACAATAAAACCCCTGAAAACTAAAAATCATTATGAATGCCAATTATTTAGTGACTTGTTCATCAAACTATTTTTATGTATGGGGTGATTTTATTCTTCTCTTAATTAAGTGCCTTAGATGAATATATTTTCATAGTTACTCTGTTTCCTCGCTTGCTGTTGTTTCACATCTTTATCAATGAGTTCCTTGGAATTTGCCATTATTTTACATCCAGAAAAATTTTTTATTCAATTCCCTGCTTCCACATGTAGACACAGAAAGCCTAAGCTGTCCTTTAGCCGCGGCTCCAAAAGGGAGCAGCATTTAAAATGTGTCTGGCTGGGTGGAAGGGAGGCTGATTCTGAATCAAGGTATCATGTGTTTCTTCCCTGTCTACCTTGCACTGTCTCTTTGGTTGCTATGAATTTCCTGCTTCCCAAATACCTGGGTTTTCTGACTACCCATCTGGCCTGAACCTCTGGTTTTTATGTTCCTGGTTTAAGTTCGTCTGTCTCTGATTCCTGACCCACTGCTCCTCTCATTCTCTAATATTCAGTGTGCTTGCTTGCCTAACTCTATTTCATTCCTCTTGCACTTCAATTTATAAATGCTACTGGTTTCTTGAATCATCACTGGCCACAGATTACCATGAAACATAATCTCTTAAATTCTGTAAAGACTAGTGCTTTTGGTCCTGGTTTCCTACCAGGCCTTTACTCTCATTCTGTTAGTCTGGTCACAGTGTATATAGCACACTGCTTATAAAAAAGCTAACCTTATTAAGTTAGTAAACTTATTTCACAAAAACTTCAAGTGGTTATGAATCAACACTCTTCTTAATCAGTAAAATTGAGGACCAGGCAGGTGTTATTTTCACTGATGTTCACTGATCTATTTTTCTCCACATTCTAAGTAGACAAAGTTGGCTGAAGTCTGACCTGAATACATGGAGTGTTGTAATGTTATCAGACATGTGAAATGGTTTATCCTTCAAATAAATGGATCAGTTAAAGAGTAGAGTTTGTTTTAATCAACAGTAACAGTGCATGCCTCCTATAAGCAAAGCGCTATTTTAGGTGCCATAAGTAATGTACTAGGTAATCAGTTTTTTAAATGATAAAAATTAAAGTACTGAGTATCTAAACATTGATCAAAAGTTCATTAAATCTTTTCAAAGAAAACCAATAAAAAACATATGTCATTAAAAAAAAAAAATCTTTTTGTGTCTAACTGGCACTTTGCTGAAGCTGGTACTTTTCCCTGGAAGATATGTAATTGAACAACACTATCACAGATTCATATTAAGAGGTAAGTGTTAAAAATCAGCAATATCAATAAATTACCTCCTGGATTTCTTGAGTTAAAGTGAAAATATGTATATATAATGCTGATATTTCTAAATTCACTATATGCCAGGACACAGAAGATAATTAACCTATGTTCTAACAGTTCTGTAACTTTCTGTGATAAAGGACAGATTAGTATATGTAAGTTTAAAAACAAATGATATTATTTAGCTGGTTTTTAATTCATGGATTTTCAATAGTAGTTTTTGAAAATCATGCATAAATACAATTAATTTTTGAAACGATAAATTTTAACTCATCACTGGCTTTTTTTTTTTTAGTTGAGAACTTCATACTTAGACAATGGGAAGTGTGTGTGTGTGTGTGTGTGCGCGTGTGTTGAGGCTTTTGGTGGAACTTTGAAGGCACAGGTCTGTTTCTTACATCAAAATAAAACAAATGAGTCCATACATATATGCCATACATACACAGAAAGCATATTTACTTATAAAACATCGATTTTTAAATGACTGTCCATATTGAGCCGATGACGCTGTGACAGCAATGTGCACTCTTACAAGTGGAGGCCAGTTCCCCAGCTGTACCACTCTCCCCTCTTTTCCTATTTCATCCCTCATTTCTTGCTTTGGTGAGGTCACATTCCACTGCAACAGCGGTCAAAACTGCACTCGAACCGTGAAACGACACATCTGTTTCTACTGGTGGCGGTTTATAGAAAAAGACTGCAAGCCCATTGAAGAGAATGGTGATAACTTTACAAGTAACACCTAAATGTAAGAAGAAAAACTAATCATGCATTTGGGCCTTTAATTATTAAAAAAGAATCAATTCTCATTGAGAGATTCTTTACATCTAGAAGTTCACTATATTAAAAAGTATACAGGCATTATAGTTCTATGTTTTAAATTTTTAAAACTTTAGGAAGGTTATATTCTTCAATAAAAAAATTGTATACATTTCAATGAACTAGTCTGCATTTTTCTTCTAAACAATAAAAATACACAATAATTATTTTATTCTTGGTTATAATTGTACATTCCTTTCTAATTTTATTAATACAATACCATAATCTATAAAAGATTATAAGCAACCAGAAATCAATGACAAAGGAAAACAGCTTATAACATTCTTGAACCTGAAACAGTTGCAGAATTTTCTTGGTCATAATGGAAAATAACTCTAAAAGTAAAAAAGTTTTGGAGTTCTTAGGAGAAAGCCTCTATGAGAATATATCATATTTAGTACTCAGCCAAATTTACTTTTAAGTATCAACTAAAAATATGAAACATCAAGAGTCACTTCGACAAGCTTTGATTTGTTTTCAAAGAACTCAGATTTTGAGCTCAACTATATGAAGAGAAACTAGTTCTGGCCACATCACAAGCCTTTAAGTTCCAGTCTAATATGATAAATAGCCTTACAATGTAGTTTTTACAGTATAGCTACTTTGTATTAATCATTAATATTTTACTCAAAATGTGCATTTGAAAAATAAGAATGAGCTAAGTGTTTCTAGATTTATAGGAAGATTAATTACATAAGTACTACTGTTACAATGTTTTTGAAAAAATTAAAGGTCTACGTGTTTGAGGGGAAAAACTCTCACATTCATCACAGTAGGAAACGGAACAATTCATTACCTTTATCTTTTGGTGAAAGACTACAAATATAATCAATTACATTTTTAAACATAAAAGCACACTGAATAAAAATGTTTTTCAGCAAGTAAAAGTGATAGGAAGATTAATTTTGCCTATTCTAGTCAATATTAACTTTCCCTTTTTAAAAATTTACATATTTATTTCTTCAGTGGATATTTTATTACTGTCATAAATTCAGACAGCATACTCTGGGTTTAAACATATGCAAGAGCAATAAACTATCCTGAAACATATGCCAATATAATTGCAATGAAAATCACACATTATGTAAATATATATTTTCTATCTAGGATTTCTCTGTTTTAAACCATTCTAATTTCTTAGGGTGTTTTAAAATTTTTATCTTACTCTTACAAACTAGATGCATTGTTCTGTTTCCTTAATCTTAATTTTCATTTATTGCTTTACCAAGACTATATGACAGGCTGCCAAAGGCAAAAAGGGTTAAAAATCATGGCTCATCTTCTAAACTTATGAAAAGATTTCTTGTAACATTCCTTAGAGCCAAAAGACACTTCCCTTCCTCAGCTCTATGTGCTTTCTAAAGCCCAGGTACCTAGATGAAATCATTCCAGAGTTTATTAGCATTCTCCTTCAACTTCTGTTAGATTCCCCCAAAAAAGTTTGAGAGAAGTTGTTAAAAGAAAATTAAATGATATGTGGTGTCATGAAAGCTAAAATGTTATTCTCTCCTATTTTAGACTTAGTCCTGCAGACCCCAGGAAAAGCCTTTCATAACCTGCTGATACCTGATCTCTGCTTCAGGACTATAGGAGAGCCCAAAAGTGCAAACTGAACATTTAAAAACTGAAGTAAGTAACAATGAAATTGTTTTTCTCTTGCCATCACAGATTTACTCTAAAGTTATTAAGAAGTCACTACTTACTTATAGCCACTAGCAGACGGGCCATCCTGATGTTATCATACATCCAGCAAGCTCCTTTAACTCCACATTCGTTAACATCCCAGAGAATACATGCGCTGTCTATTGTGACACCAAATATAATCGGTCCAGGTATAGAGCCTAGAAGAATTATATGTGAAATACACATGGGTAAAGATTATAGGTTATAATTACAGATTTTTATGTTCAGGAATATCCATGTATTTTATTTTTTTACTGTATCTTGTTTTTTCCCATCACTATTTATCCCCTCCATGCCTTCTTCCACCTCCCCCCACAGCAGTCGCCACACTGTTGTCCATGAGTTCTCTTTTTCCTTTTTGTTCAATCCCTCCACGCCCCCAACACCCCACCCCACTACAGCTGTCTGTCTGCCTGCTCTCCATATATTTTAAATAAATAAGAATAGGTATTAATCTGTCCATTTGCAAACCAATCAGTTCATATACAAGTAACAAGGAAGAAACTTAGGCAAAAAGTCTAAAATAATTACACATAATTATACATTTCTAATCAATTAAAAATATTTTAATAAAAATCACTGGCATATATTGCATTGACATCTAATTAAATATTTTAATTCACTGCTTTTCTAATTTAATAAGTCTTTGAAATTAGCTATAATACCTTTAAAAATCAAAATAAATTATTGATGCACAAAATAAGTGCTAAGAACAGCGTGTACTGTATGTATGTGCGCGCATGAGAATGTAACGTGTACACAAAACATTAATACTAACATGCCTAGTGCTGCTATCTCAAACACACACCCTCCCCTGAGTGAGATCAGAAGGCACAAAACTTTCACATGATTAAGGAACTTCCAGTTGTTACAAGTCAAATACATGATTTGAAGTTGCATTTCTTAGACAGAGATTTCAGCTACATCCAGCCTGTTCTTTTGTGACCTGTGGCATGACGGAGTCAAAAGAGCACTGGTCTGAGTAAGGAGACCATCTTCCTACTCTCATTTGCACCATTAATCGTTTAACTATGGGCAAACCCCTGAATCTCTAAGGGCCTTCATTTACTCATCTGAAAAATGGGAAAGTTGGTTCAGGTGACCTCTAATGTTCCTACATTTGGTTTTTGTTTTTAACATGATCTTAATAATATGTGCATACTATTGTGAATGTAAGTATACACACATAATTATGTGTATAATATAATGCTTGTCTTTTGTATTCTTCCCGGATCTGGAACCTTTATAAATTCTTTCTTCCATCAATTCCTAACTAGTCTTCATTGTTGATGCAACATAATCATACCCTAAACATAAATAAATGCTGGGAGAAAAAAATGACAGTAGTAATTTTTAAGATTTTATCATAATTTATGTTGGTGGTAGGTTTTATGTGAATAGAAAAAAAATGTCTCTTACTATGCTCTATTAGAAATGCATTGATGATAATATATTATATTTCAAATAAATACGATATACTCTTTAAGGTTATATTTGCAACGGAATTAGAAACAATAGTTATAACCAGTCAAGGAAATAAAAAGTAAAGTCATTATTTTCTTATGTGATATATGATACTATATCTTGAATATTGGAAAACAGATTCTTCAATGGCAATTATGTAGTTTTCTACTGCATTTAAATTAATTACTTTCTTGGCACATACCATAAATGAATAAATCAGTAACACTAATGAACAGAAATAACCAAGTTACGAATGAATTAAGAAAAACGGCATACCTAATAATCGAAGCATCATAAACTGAATTCCCAATGCTAGAGACCGTTGCCTTTGATTAACACACCTGGAGATAGTAAATGCACATGAGGCCAAAAATAGTTGTACAGTACATTCGCTCTTTGAGCAAATTCATTTTATACCAGGGTGGCATTTCTAGATTAAAGTAAATTTTATGCATATGAAAGAAACAAGTTATTTGTAACAGTTTATATACAGTTCAAACTTTCTGGAATTAAAAAAGGAAAAAAATGTCTTCTGAACTAAAATACTGCAAATTACACCAAGAAGAGTAAAGTAAATTTTAACAAATATACTGAATATATATGAATTTTAACCAATATAAAGGAGAAAGCACATTCATTAACAAGACCTATTTTTTTTACTACTGCTTAATTCACATGTCACATAATTCTTACTCTTACTAACTGTGAAACAAAAATCATACCTATGAGATAAGAGTACAAATTTGAGAAAATGAAAACAGTCGCTGAGGCTCAATCTAATTCAACAATATGTAATGACTATCAAATATGAATGAGAAATGATGCTGGGACATGAGAGTTAGAGGACAGATAAAAGAGATCAACTACTCTTTAAAAACAAATTTGCAGTTGAAAGGTGACATAGATAATTTTTTTCAAAATAAATTTTTAGAAAGCATATTCTCTGTTCTGTAAGTAACTCCAATTTCCATGTAGTAAAATGTTAACAGATTCATTAATGTTTTTAGACAGAGTCTCTAAAACTTCCATTTGTCAAAAAGTATGTGAAAAGACACAACTGATAAAGGGTCAATATTCAAAATATATAAGGAACTCATACAACTTAACAAACGGAAGACAAACAATCCAATTAAAAAATGGGCAAAGGACCTAAATAGACACTTCTCCAAAGAGAACATACAGATGGCCAAGAGACACATGAAAAAATGCTCAGTCACTAACCATCACAGAGATGCAATTAAAATGACAATGAGATATCACCTCACACCTGTCAGAATGGCTACTATCAAAAAATCAACAAACGACATGTGCTGGCGAGGGTGTGGAGAAAGGGGAACCCTGGTACAGTGCTGGTGGGAATGCAGATGGTGCAGCCACTATGGAAAGCAGTATGGAGGTTCCTCAAAAAATTAAATATGGAACTGCCATTTGACCCAGTGATCCCACTCCTAGGAATATATCCTAAGGAACCCAAAACACTAATCAGAAAGAACTTATGCACCTCTATGTTCATAGCAGCACAGTTTACAATAGCTAAGATCTGGAAACAGCCCAAGTGCCCATCAGTAGATGAGTGGATAAAAAAGCTGTGGGACATTTACACCATGGAATTCTATGCAGCTGTGAAGAAGGATCTCTTACCCTTTGGCACAGCATGGAGGGAACTGGAGAGTATTATGCTGAGTGAAACAAGTCAGTCAGAGAAAGACAAGTACCACATCATCTCACTCATACGTGGAATGAACAAAATAAACTGATGAACAAAATGGATCCAGAGACACAGAAGCATGGAACAGACTGAGGGATCTCAGAGGGAAGGTGGGGAGGGGGGAGCGGGTGGGGAGAGATTAATCAAAAAACTTATATGTATATAGGCATAGCTCATGGACACAGACAATAGTATGGGGTGGGGTGGATGCGGGGTAGAGGGGATCAATGGGGAGGAAGGGGAACATCTAATACTTTCAACAATAAAGATAAATTTTTTTAAAAAGTATGTGAAATGGTTAAGTATCAAGGAACCAAAAGTGAAAAGGGCAAAAGCCAGGGTTTGTCAGGAAAGAGACAGAAAGGCTGAGGGGCTCATGGAAGGGCAGATAGGAAATATGTTTACAAAGTGAGGTGGAAGGAGGAAGAGCAACTAAAAGCACGGACCACTGTGAAGAGCCAGGTGACAGCCAGCTGCTTATCTATCAGGGCTGTTTACAGGAAGGTGTAAAATCGCAGCACCTACTGTAAAGGGAGCATGCAAGCCATTCGGATTCTGACCTATGGGGAGCACACTGTCTCTCCGTCATACTCACCACTCTATTTCCATCAAATAAAACTGAACATATTTCCAGCTTACAACTGAAGCCTCACAAAAGCAGCAGAGAAACTGACCAAGTATATAACAGGTGGGCAATATTAGGACACTTCCACATACATGATCTCATTTACACCTCATACATCTGAGGCTCAATGAAGTAGCTTTTTATTTATTTTTTATTTTATTTTATTTTTTTAAATATATCTTTATTGATTTCAGAGAGAAGAAGGGAGAGGGAGAGAGAGAGAAACATCAATGATGAGAGTCATCGATTGGCTGCAGCCCGCAACCCGGGCATGTGCCCTGACCGGGAATCGAACCCCGATCGCCTGGATCCTAGGTTGACGCTCAACCACTGAGCCACGCCCGGCTGGGCATGAGGTAGCTTTTTAAAAGCATCAAACTAATGATCTTGTAGAGCTGAACTGTTATTAGAACCAATGGTCAATATAAACTTCAAACGACCCTCTGAGTCCTCTCTCTTTCATTCAACATGCTGCCTTAGGGATGGCAAATTTCAAAATCCATACCTTAGGATGGACACAGTTATGGGGGTACCAGCCATAAAAGTAAAAATAACTGCAGCAAAGAAAATGCCGAGGAATATGGGCAAATTGGTACATCGAGTTTCACACTTTCCAGCTTTAGCTTCAAAACCAAAACTTGCTGCCAGAGGTGATATTTCTGTTTTCATTCCAATACAGGAACAGTTGTAATATACCTAGAATATCAGACATAAAAATACCAAAAGTGTTTATCTTGAAAACATGTTTTATCATTGTAAATTAGGTGATCTCTAGACATGGCTCTCACACAGTCTTAATCTATACACAAAAAATAATGCTGAGAAAAAGTAATTAACCCTAAGAAATGAAACAAGGGAAAGCAAGCAGCCATAGTTATAAAGTAGAATCATCTCTATTTGACTTTTCTGTTCATTACTTCAACTTGTAACCTATTATTGACTCCGGATTTATAAAACAAACTGACAAGAATATAACAGTTACGTCATCGAGCAATTCCAGACTGCTTTGAACTCATCATAATTGTTCAAACAATCTTCCCGATCACTGTCTTCATTTCCATTACAGGACACAAAACAAAAAGCATGCACAGCGACAATCTCGCCATTACACTAGTTTAAAAGAACAGATACTGTAATTTTAACAAGTGCTTCAGTAAAATAACTAATATGTCACAAGAGTTTGGGGAAAAATTGCTTCTTTCAACTAAAGCTTATTACTATAGTTGAACTTTCGTGAATTGCTTTATCAAAAACAGTCTCCCTCTTAAGATGACATATTTATGAATATCAAAACTAGAAGTTATTACATTATCCAGAAGGCTATTTTATATATAAATAGCATAAATATGTATGTTAACAATTCTTGTCAACACATTTATACATATAAAGAATATGAAATGTTGGAAGGCAACATGTCAAAAAAAATCACAAGTATTACTTTGTATGAAAAAAATTCAGATATTTTAAAAGTTAGGCATAATTATTTTTTAAAGGCTTTTTACATCTCAACTCCATTCTTGCTTTAAATCCTTTTACACATTTGAGGCCTCAATAAAAGAGCAGAGGCAAAGAAATCAAAGGGAAGTGGTACTTTTATTGTTCTGAAGTCAGAGACCTTTTTTGGCTGCTAAAGGTGTTCCATGACCACTGGTACTGACTCAGGACACACAAATAATTAGATGATGCCCCCAAAATAGACTGTTTTATACTCAGCAATCAGGTATATCAAATAATGGAGTAATGTAGCCTTTAAAATTTTACAGAAAGAAAACTGAGAACAGTTTTTTTCTGTCTTTTTTTTAAATATTTAAACTTTTTAAAATTTATTGTTGTATTACAGAGGTCCCCCATTCCCCCCTTGACCCCCTCCAGTTTTTTGTCTTGATGAAACTTTACAACTCTCTTACATAAAAAGAGTATACATTTGCCTAAATATAGTTGCTGTTAGTTAGCATCTGTTTTTGTATTTTGGATCACTGGTGTGAAATATAAAACTAATATTTCTGTGAACAAATGTGCATAGGTATTTATTACGTTAACATCAATGCATTTGTCTATCTGAAATACTCTATAAGAAAAAAAATTCCAAGAAAAAATGAGTTGCTACATGACATAGTTGGACATTAAAAAGTCAGAACAAATAGAAAATTTGGAAGTCAAGATAACATGCTTTTCCTAAACAACCCCTAGAAGACAATTTAATGTTTAAAATAGCGATTATGGCACTTGGTTAAAAATATATAAACATCAAATTAATCATATCAAAATAACCAATACTATTTTCAAGTATGTTCTAGGATTAGATTTTTATTACTATTTACTTATTTAATTTGGGTTTCCTTGTGCAGGATAATATTTGTATCTAAGTATTTTACTATGTAAGTAAAACTCTTCCAATAACTTAACTTTCATGTCATAATTTTCTAATTAAAGTTAGTTAATAGCACTATCGATCACATTTTATATACAGGGAAATTTTACCCACTTATCTACCTCTCAAAGAAATAGTTACCTTCCAGGTAGTTCCTATTCTAAGATATACATCATGCTCTTTATATTGGACACAAACATCTAATTTTCTAAACTTATTTTGAAACTGAAGCAATACCAAATGTCCACTGGTTTGAAGGTATAATAACCCTCAGTTTGGGAATCTTAAAAATATTCCTGGCTGGCCAGGGCTGCTCAGTGGTTGACCACTGACCCATGAACCAAGAGGTCACTGGCTCAGTTCCCTGTCAGGGCACATGCCAGGGTTGCGGGCTCGATCCCCAGTAGGGAGCGTGCAGGAGGCAGCCAATAGAGGGTCCTCTCTCATTGATATTTCTATCTCTCTATCCCTCTCCCTTCCTCTCTCTCCAAAATTAATAAAAACTTATTTTTAAAAAATTTTTTTTAAATATTCCTGATGTCTTATTAACTTTCATAGGCACTTCATGGCAGTGATCTAATTAGTTTCATTCCAAGGATTAAAACTGTACTTAGTCATGTCTACCAGGTCTACTATGACTCACCACAGACTTTTTTTTCAGTGTTCTTAGATAATCACTTAAAAATCTGTAAGCTAGGTAATATGAAAAAAATGTACATTGTTTTTCACATTCTGGTTTACTCCCAGTAGGAAGGTCAAATCCTGGTCTTCAAATACATTAACACTGAGATAAGTGTTTAATGTATTTATTACATGCAAAATTATTACAGTTATGCACATATATACACGAACATGTATTTATGTGTGTACATATGAACATATAAATGTGTATAACCACATACTCATATACACACATCTGTTAGTTTTAGAAGAAATTGGAGGTAATTTTATAGATCATTTCAAATAATTATTTCACCTTATTTATATGGAAATATTTTTTAAATTTATCTTTATGTAGAAAAAGAAATGCTGTTTCACTAGTTCATGTTTCAAATAAATAAGATTATGCTGTTTTGTCATATTATTCATTGTGGTCTATTATATCATAGAATATATTTCCCTCAGATCTTTTTAGTGTTACCACATTATCTATTAATGCCTAACATATTATATAGTATTAGTAATGTGAATATTTGTTTCCAAGGCTCTTAAATTTAGCTAAGATGAAATCTTTGGATTGTAGATGTAGTACTATAAAATTCTATTGGATCCTCTTAAAATGATTTAACTGTTAAAAAAAACACATATCTAGGAAAACTGATATGCATTCTAAATCCAGAAATAAAAGTAAATTTGTATTTGAATATGAGTAAATGATTTGGATGTTTTCAAATGAATCCATGGTACATCAAATAAAAGCAAAAATACTTATGATACTTCTACTATGTACACTGTAATTAGCAAGAATAGGAAAAGTTCCCTGACTTCAAGGGAGGTGTACAGTTGAGGAAAAAATAATGAAAAAAGGTAAGTAATATTTCACTGCTATAATACAGGTAATGTTACAAAGATGTATGTAACTACCAAGTTAATTTTTCGACAATAATTGCATCTAAGGTATAAAAGAAGACTTTTCCTGTTGGAGTGGTCAGGTTTTATGTTTTGTTTTGTTTTGTTTTGTTTTAAGGTAAGACCACTTAACATGAGATGTACCCTCTTAACAAATTCTAAGTGTACAATACATAATTGTTGACTAAAGGGACAATGTTACACAGCAGATCTGTGAAGCTTATGCATCTTACGTGACTGAAACTTTATGCCTGGCTTCTGAATGGAGTAGGTGGGCCAGGAAGGAAAGAATAGGCATTGCATAACTCCATTAGAGGGATTGAGAAGGCCGTCCATAAGTACACGAACACACTGCCTCATTAAGGTAATGTAGCGGACACAAGTTACCTCGGGACGGCTTTTTGAATCAGAACTTTTACAACCTGCAAAGCAGGGAGAAAAATACTGAACTCCATCTCTGCCACAGACAGGGTAATAATGTGACCGCATGCAGTTGCAATTGGCATTACAAGGAGTGGTCAAGTTTCCCAGGTTTCCTGTCCTGTCAACGAGAAATGAAAGGTGGGCAAATGATCTCTGTTACAGCATTTAATATACAGTTCAGAAGCATTGCTATATCTTTCCATTTAGTCATTTATTCAATCACTAATTCAATTTATTCAGTCATTTATTCAATTCAGCATATATCTATTGCTAAATAAATAAAACAAAATGCCTTTTCACATAGAACTTAATGTCTTGTGCAAGAGAGCAGTGGAAACAATAATTACATGCCTGTCGGTGAAAAGAAAAACAGATAGAGTAAGCAAACATAGTTTCTCATTTTATACCAAAGAACTCTTTTGGGGGGAGGGAGGAGCTGATTCTGAAGACGGTAGGATGTTCAGCAGCATCCCTGGCCTCTACCCACTGGATGCTAGTAACATCCCCTTAGTTGTGATTCTGCTGTATTTAAATCTTTGTATCCCTGAGCATAGTACCCAGTACAGAATAGTGGCTCTCTGAATAAACACCCAACTTTTAATAAGATGTCAATTACTTAAACGAAAAAAATGTACCTATTCTTACACACGAAAAACCCTTACAATTAAAAAAAAAAAGCCAATCGCTTATCATTTCATCATATACTTGGAGAAACACACATAGTTGATTACTCTGATAATAATATCAAAAAGCACTGAAATATACCTACCCATTATATGACTGAGACACACCAGCAAATGGCTCATTTTCACAGCTGGCATAAACAAATACAAAACTCAGCACAAGTGCAATTAAAGATGTAAGCAAAGAAAACTTCATTGTGTTCTTACACGTCATTTTGAATTTTGAAACAAGAACACCACCTAAAATCTGACCAAGAGCAGCTCCAGGAATTAAAATAGCCCCTAATGAGAAAGAAGACACAGTGAGAAAACATATAAATATACTCAGTAACTCCTACCAACAATTGGAAAAATATCAAAAACAAGCAGCAAATTGATTTTAACATATGAAAGCACTCATGATTTAGACACATATGAATAAATGATTTAGTTGTTATATTAAGAGATTAATAAAATTAATGTTTTTAATATAAACATTTATATTGTCTTTAGCTATATAACTATATAGGCTCTGTATCTCTCAAGCTCATACAAAAGAATTTTTTAAATGTCAGAAAATCAGGAAATTTTATCAAAATCCGTATAAAGTTTAAATTTCAAGGACTCAGCTATCCAAAATTACATGCTATTCTATTAAATATTTAATATGGAACAGTAAAATTATTAGACTATGTTAGAACAAAGAGGATGTTTTACCTCCAAGGGTAGCTGCAAAGCTGGATGAAAATCCAAATTGATTTTCTATAAATTTAGGTAAAAATGTAGCAAATCCAGTAGTAACTAAGGCTTCTGAAGAAGTTGATAAAACTAAACACATAAAGACAGTATTCCTCATCAAATTCTAAAGAAAAAATACAGTTCACCAAATGAATAACTATGATCATACTGCAAAACACAGCATCAGAATGGCAACTTATTCATAAAAACCATATAATTATCCATAACATTTCAGGCTTTTCCTCCAGCGTAAAAGTATAAATATGGATTAAATAGTTTTATATAGAGAATGTTGAGAAAATTTATCTGGGAAGCATGTGAGGATTGACAAATGATTCATCAGTAGGATGACTGAGCCTTTGCCATACGCAAGGGACCAGAAAAAGGAAGTAAAAACCCACTTGTGGGATGGGGTGGAACGGGTCATTGGGGAGAAAAAGGGACATTTGTAATATTTTAACAAAAATAAAATTAAAACAAAACAAAACAACACTTGGAAAGCCTACTTTCCCAGCCTCACTATAAATCTCCATACAATAAATCTGCCCCTTATTTGACTTTCTTAGTGCGTTCCAGTAAATGAAGAACTTGACTGTGAGCACAATGAGAATGGTCTTTAAGTGTCAAACTTCTAGTATTGTTCCGTGACTACAGGACTCAGTAGTTCAGAACCTTAGACAGGCATAGAGTTCAGTCATTTTAAAAAGGTTTTTTATGTTCCTAGACTTCTCAGAATGTTATTAATCTATCAGAAGAGTACAGAGCTTCATTATTTCAATATATTTAACCATAAAGTGAAAACCAAAGTATAGTTCTGGAATATTTAATGTAAAAATCTTCATAAAACCAACCACAACACACACACACGTGTGCACATGAACAAAAACAAGAGTCAGAGGCAGGTGGTCTAAGGAAAAGTAAGTAATTTCAAATCTGGAAAAGGTAAAATTATAAACTCCTTTATGTGCAAAACTTTTATGATGCTAAATAAAAAGAAGGCTTTTCTGCTGAGTTCAAAAGAATAGACCGTAACACTTTTGTTTCTTTAACCTCAAATTCAAATCAAGTAACCACTAACCACCACTTCTTTCACAAGGCAAATGTATTGGTTTGGCATTCTCAAATACATATTTACAATTCAGTGATAACTGATCGATCCTTTACATAAAGGAAATGGCATGGAATAATGGGCTATAGTACTAATGAGGAACCACTGAATATTGATATTGCCAGTAAGGTAACTCATTTTCTCTCAACTATTCTACTCTGGAATAATTTTCATTTACTCAAAGCTCAATAAAATTAAATCTGGAGAGTTGTTTATAAGAGGTAGAATAATAGTAAATAAGCAAACAACAAAGCATTGTGGAAACATATGTATATACAGGGTGGGGCAAAAGTAGGTTTACAGTTGTATTATTTTATTATTTTCCATATAAACAACTGTAAACCTGTTCTTGCCCCATCTGTATGGGTTTATGTGTCTATATAATGTACACATATGTATGTGTGAGGGAGTATGTGTGTGAAGCATGTTATTTTACCTTTAGAGCAGCTGGAAAATCTTTAAAACTCTTTCCAAAATTCTCATCTGTATGTTCTAAGGAACAAGTACTCTGATGAGTCTGGGAAATTTTTCCGTCTTGAATTTTTGCTGTACCTAAAAAAAAAGTATATGTATTTGCTCTATCACTTCATTCTTCATTTTTAAAAATGCTTACTTTTTAATGAACACATTTCTGCAAGTATGTAAATTCCATAATATAAGAAGCCAGTTCCTCTCTTTGTTAAAAAACTGTATAAATATCCATGTCTGCAATCTGGCTGTCCTACGAGCTCATATTATTACCATTAGCTCAGGAAGTACCAACCAGTGTAAAACTTAAGATGAGAATTATGCTCTAATCACATATTTATTCTCTTCATTTAAAATCTCTCTTAACACTTTTTTTCTTCCATTCAAATATTTCTCTTTCTCATCCTTTATACATTAAACAAAGTATGTTTGAGGCTTTTTTCCTTTACTCTCTTTAATTGTAAGTACTTTGCAGATGAAACAGTATTTACCCTCTATAACCAGGTCCCTTTGATTTTTAATAATGGTTCTGTGAATCAATCTGAGAATACAGTCAATATATGGATTCAGAAGTTGGATTGGCCAAGGTAGGAAAAAAAAAAATGGTTCCACCTACTTCTACTCTGCCAATGTTTCTTCTGCCCATTTCCAGTGGTAATCATCTATCCTGTTTTATATAATAGAAACGATACCTGAGCCTAGAGAAATATATATATTTGAACTTTATGATTATACACAAGCAAAATCTCAGAGAGAGAAAGAAATGAATATTCTCTTCTATTAACCTTTTCTTTTTTGGACAGACAGGCTAGTATTGGAATAGAGTGAAAATGAGTATACTACAGCATGACTTTAGTGACAACTGAAAGAAAAGCAATTGTACTTTCAACAACAAATAATAAACATCAATGATTTAAGGAAGATTGGCTCTTCAAGTTAGTGACTGAATACCAACTAATAGTTTAAAAGATAATATATCTTACATATATCTATAAAGCAGGATTCCAGATAACACATAAGAAACAAATTTATTAAGTATATAATAAAGAGGTGAATATGTACAGTTTTACTGATTATGAATTGAAAATAAAGCAAAACCATGAATATTAAGATTGTTACCCAATGTTTCCTAAAATAGAGAAAGCTATTCAAAAGTTTGCATGGTCAGACAACTGAGATTCTATAAAACAATGAATTTTCTAGGGTTCTTACCAATCATATAGAAAGCAACACTTGACACCTGGAATTGTACTAAAATTCCTTGGTTTTAAAGAAAACATTTTTACCTGGTAAATGTTTTGGAAAACATGAAAAAGGTATTATCAAACACCAAGCAAAGAGCCAAGCCATAATAAATCCAATCCACCACGCCCCCAGCCATCGCGGATCATCCTCAGTGATATCAGTGCTATGTGACAGAAAAACAAAAGGTCAGAGTCAACTCTATTTTTTGTAATTTACACTCAGCTGTGATAATTATATACTTTACAATTCAAGTGCATTTATAGAGGTGTATTGTTATAATATCCAAAATTTTAAGTGGAGCCATTTTGATGAATCAGACAACAGATAGAATGCAGAAAGGAGAGCTGTAAGAATAACAGTTTGTAATCTATTTCAGAATGGCAAACAAGACATAAAAGTTTCAAATATTCAATAGTAAATGTAAGTATGTTGAATATTTGAAAGCATACACAGAATTTCTGAACATTCTTTATCTGTTGGCTAAGTTTTTGTTCTCTACTATATTAAATACATCTCACAGTGTATCATTGATCTACATTAAAAGCCTATACAGTGCTTCAATTACAGCACTCATTTAAATATAAGTCTTCTTAAAGCGATTTATTAAGTTTTTTATAATGGTTTTCATATTTTATAACAATAGGCTCTTCCCCAAAACACAACTTACGCAATTTGCCACTGAAATTAAAATGTTCTTTCTTAAAATCCAGCTCTCTGCTTCAAGGGCTTCCTCTGACGCCTTTTTCTACAGTCTCTACAAGATTAACCAAGAACTAGCAGCTCAAAGAACAAACCATATACCCATGACCACATGGTCACTGCTCACAGTCATGCAGACGACTGTGTAGTTGTAATTCCCAATGGTAAAATGAGGACATATGGTCTCCAAAGTTCACTAACTTCTCAATTCAGGAAGAGACAAAGGTAACTAAGTGCTTAAGAGGAAGATTTTGGAGTCAAAAAGATCTACTCTTGAGTCATGCCTTGGCCACTTACCTAGCTGTGTATCAACTATCTTACAGAATGATTAAGAGGATTAAATAAAAATGGCATGTAAAATAAGGTAGTACATAGGACCAATATTGTGTGGAAATAGTATGGGATAAATAAACATTACCTATTACTATCCTCCACTGTCAGTTATTAAAACGGCACAACTGTGATTTCTAAGAAGTTATCAGAGCTACCACAGAAGAGCCTGAGAATCAGACTCTTGACTCTTCGAGCTATCTACCTCCAGCTAAATGTACTAAAAACAATCAATTTTGATTAAATTCTTCTTTTGAACAATGCATTGGGTCTTGGATGTGTATTTTGAAAAATTATACCAGGTGTCTATTAAACATCCTTATTTATGAATAAATGTTTTATACTACGAGATGGTATGACATTAACTCATGAAGCAATGCAGCCAAAACGTTATATAAAAATTGTGTATATTAGTTTTGTTTCCTGAAAAATCCTCATACTATAGTGAGGAAATACTGTGAAAATGTTCTGTGTATGATATTAACATTATAATAATGAAATAAACTCAAATAAAAAAAAAATAGATATTGCCTTGCCTTTGTCCCAAACCAACATCAATGTATAGGGTTAACAGCTGTCCTCCCAGCACATAGCCAATAGCAGGGCCTAATATTGACATAGAATAGCCAATTCCTAGAAGGAAAAAGACATGGACAATGGTCATCTGTACAACTTTGTTTTGAATTTCTAACAATAGTAAAGAAACGCAAATATTTTACTATAGAAAAATCAAAATGGTTAGAATTACATGAAAATTACACATATTTTCACTAAAAAATGCCATCTGAATGTTATCACTTGTAAAATCCAGGAACTTAAAATAAATAATTCAATTTAAAAGTTGTTTGACTATAATAATAATTGCAAAAAACCAATAATTACAAATCCATGGAGGGATATATTGTAAACTGGTGGCAGGGGCAGTATATCGACTACCCTTTACGTATGGTGATAGTAATTATTGTTTACAATCTTTATGGAAAAATGTGTGCTATGATAAGCCTTTTCCACTCTGTACACACTACAAAGGCATTCTTTATTTTGTACTACAGCAGCTGATAAAAACCTGGATCTGGTCATTAGTTTGTTTCTTAAAAGTAATTAACTTAAACATCAGCTTTTAGTGAATCTCCCATTTTTACTTGCAGCAGAATTAAACTGACCTTATTTCTCTCAGATACTTAAAAATTCATCATATATAACTTTTTAATTTTGCAAAGTAAGCCCTCACCAAACTGAATATGTGGGCACCCTGGTCTTGGATTTCCCAGCCTCAAGGTCTTTAAGAAATACATTTCTGTTGTTTATAAGCCAGCCAGTCTATGGTATTCTATTATAGCAGTCCCAACGGTCTAAGACAGTCCTCCACATTAGAATAATAAATTGATAAAGTGAAAACTAATGTGCAAATAAATTACACATTAATTGGCCATAGGGTGACAGATAGTCCAGTTAGTTCTAACTTGCAGGAACTTCAGGGAAGGAATTTAAGAGAAATTTATGCTACCAAAAATTAGATCACAAAGGGGGGGGAAAAATCAAGTCATATATCAAAATGGTTTATCTGAAGTGGAAAACTCCATAGGGTTTCTGGGTACTATTTTGTGGTTTCTTTTGTTGACTTTAGTCAATAGGATGTAGTAAGTCACATAGAATGACAGAGCTCAATTTCTACACCCTGTGTAAATCAGCTGGAATTCAAGAGTCTACTGGTTGGACAGCACTTCCAGGAAACTGGCATGCCCAGTAAAAGAAAGAGAGCAGGACATTGAACAAAACTCACAACTGCATTCTACTGAAGGACATGATAGGCCAGTAAATAACAAAACAACAAAAAGCAATATTGTATATATCTCATGAAACTCCTATGAAATTACAACTAACTTTAAAATAAGCATATGTTATGCTTTACTTATAAATTAAACAGTAAGATGAAATGATACTGAGACATTTATGTTATAGAGCAAATTTACCTATATAGAGAGAAGATTTGTGTGTGGGCACAGAATCATCAAGAAAGGCTGTTCCCAGGGTATAGAGCGGAGTTCCTCCTGTCCCCAGCAATAGTTGTCCCAAGATGAAGACATACAAGAAGTTGGAAAGCGAAGAACTTGAAGAGGTACAACTGGTTCTGTTCCTTGCTATTGTACAAGTATCTTTAGAGAGAAAAAAAAAAAAAATTTGTGAATATAAAGAAATTCAGAGAAAGACAAGTACCACATGATTTCACTTATATGTGGAATCTAATGAACAAAATAAATTAACAAACAAAATTAAAACCGACTCATAGAGAATAGATTGACAGCTGTCAGAGGGTAGGGTGGTTGGGGGCCTGAGTGAAAAAGGTAAAGGGATTAAGCCAAAACAACAACAACAACAACAAAAAAAAAACCCTCATAGACACAGAGAACAGTATGGTGATTACCAGAGGAAAAAGAGGTTGAGGGAAGATAGAAGAGAGTAAAGGGGAATAAGTGGTGATGAAATGAGACTTGACTGAGGGTGGTGAACACACAATACAATATATACAAATGATGTATTATAGAATTGTACACCTGAAACCTATATAATTTTATTAACCAATGTCACCTCAATAAACAATAAATGAGCACAGAAGAAATCCATAAAAAAGAAATTCAGCTAATAATTTAAATATTTATCTTTATAAATTATACCTGCCTAACATTAACCTTCTTTATTTCTTCCAATCACTTCCCTTTGATTATATTTAGCTATTTTAAAATATATATATTACTAAAGAAAATTTATGAAATATTATGTTAAAATTTAGAAAATATAAAACAAAAGTAAGAAACAATACTTATGAGTCAAAATTAACAAATTTCAGGTACATTAATGTGAGCACAACTGATGCAAGCAGTGCCAAGTCATAAATACAGCATGACCACCATACAGAATTAATCTTAAACACATCTGAAAAGTGTACTTGGGTAATAAAATATTTTGGCCAAACAAAACAGTCATTCTTAATGTTCACCACAAAGCAGTAGTGTTTGGAAGTTATGTCTAGTTCTTTTTTTACAGCTCAAACTATTTTATTAACTTTATTTTTTGAAACTATGTATGGGTCTATAGAATATTCTTTTGAATATCATCAAAGGAAAAATGGTTCTTTTTAAAATTTGATTAAAATCTTAAAAATCACATTCAAACTCTGGGTATTATAGTAAATCCATATTTCCTAAACTCATATGCTAATGAACAAAGAAGCTTGTTAAAAATATATTCCGCCCTTTCCCTTTGAAGCCAGTGTAGTAGCCAGGAATCTGCATTTTAACGATAGCCTCAGCTAATTCTATTTTCATTTCCTTATTATCAGATCAAGACTTATTTCCTCACTGATGAAATATGTAAGGCCCTTCAAGTACCAATCCTTGACATTCTTTAACTGGTTCATATCCATCAAATTTTTAGATGCAAATTTTATGCATAAAATATGTCTTTTTAAATTTAAAACATACCTTATAATATGGCACGTATTCATGTTATAAGAGGTTGATGAATATTTTGGCAGATAATTTGTTTATAACTGGACTAGGTCTGCATTATTTGTGTTACCTTCCTGGCCATGTCTGACATTTGAATTGTAACTCCTGGTTTCAATAATCAGTTTCTTGGAAGGAATAGATTCGACTAAGAATCTCATTATTTGATACACGGCAAAATGGGATATATGCATATTTCTCAGTTTATTATTTTTCTTGTATTTTCATTATATGAGTATTCTTCGGGGTTTTGGTGTTTGTTTGTTGTTTTTCCCAAGAAGAGGTAATTCATGAGGGTTCCACATGCTTTTTTAAATAAATTTTAAATAGCAACAGAAGACTATCAGGAGAAAAACTAAACTGTCCCTTACCCTGCCCACCTCCACTCTATGCTCTCCCATGTAACTTAGATGGAGGTAATAACCCCTGTTAACAGTTCCTTTTATCATGTTTCATTCTTTTCACACATTCACATTTTATATCATTTACTTTTTTTACACAAGTATGATCATACTAAACATACTATTCTTATATTCAGCAATTTCCAGTTTTCAGATATTATGTCCTGTACGTCTTCATGTTGGAACCTAAAGCTGTATTTAAAAGTCTTTGTTCACACTGTTATATTATTCCACAGCATAAATGTTCTGTGTCTACAACATATATTTAGTAATTAATAATATAACGTATATTATGATTATCATTATATTATACACGTTTAGGTCATTGCAAACAATATTGTGATGACTATTTTTTAAATTTATCATAAAATATTTGTACAAGTCTATCTGTAGTACAGGCTCCAAAAAGTGAAAGTGCTCGGGCAAAGAGTATAAATATGTATATTTTGATACTGCCAAATTGCCTTATCAAAAAGTTATATGAATATTCAATTCCACCACCAACGCAATAATACTTTACATAATAAAACTTAAATAACTACCAATCTCATTGGTTAAAAAATACATATAATTTTAAAATTTTATTTTTAAGTATTATCATTGAAATTAAGCTTTTTTCCATGTTATTGGCTACTTGCATATTTTTTCTGTGATCTAACTTTTCAAATTTATTTCATAGGTTCTGAGTTTGATACTTGACTTATAAAAGTCTTCCCTTCTCCAAGACTACATATAAATTTGCAATGATTGTATCCTAGCATTTTTATTACTTTGTTTTTAATTCATATGTAATATATTTTTGTGGGAAGAGACAGGGATGCAGCATTCTGTTGGATTAACCAAAGAGCCTTTTACATTTCCTATGTATGGGTTTATTTCTGGGTGCTCAGTTTCGTGTCACTGATTTTTGCAGTCCCTCTCCAGCACAAATCTCTTGTAATTACTTCAGCTGCCTAAGCTTTGAGGGGATCAATACCTCAGCCTGGTGCTCACCCCCTTTACAGTACTGTGTGAAAGGCTCTGTAACAGCATCTTATTTTATCATTTTCCCAAATAAACAAGATCTACTTATGAAAACTACTGTGTCTAATATATTACTCTGTCTGTATTATTTCTAAATAATTTTCTTCTATTGCTTTTCTTAGAGTTGATAAAAAGAAATGACATATCAAGAAGTCACAGATGAATATTAAATGCATATTGATAAGTAAAAGAATCCAATCTAAAATGTATACATACTTTATGATTTCAAGTATATAACAATTTGGAAAGGCAAAACCATAGTGATGGTAAAAAGATCAGTGGATGCCAAGGGTTCAAAAAAAGGGAAGGAGGGTTAAGTAAACACAATACAAAGGATTTTTTTTAGGACGGTGAAACTATTCTATATGGTAGTTTAATTGTGGATGTATGACACTATGCATTTGTCCAAATTCATTAAACTTTACAGCACAGAGTGGAATTTAATGTATACAAATTTGAAAAAATCATTTAAGAGGTCAAAAGGTTCCAGGATAAAAATGCAGAACGTGACAAAAGGATCAAACTGTAATATAAATGTATGAAACCTCTAAAGAGGATGGGTGTAAGGGTGCTGATCTAAGTAACTGTGGAAATGAGTGGAGTCTCCAAGACTGCAGGCAAAAGAAACTGTACATAATCACTGTATTCTAGATGATAGTTATTTCCCATTCTCTAATTAAAGGGCCTCTTGGAGAAATGGCTGATTCTAGGACTAACACCAGAAATATACAGGATGAGCCTGGATCATCTCATAGTACCAGGAAGTAGTGCTGAATACAAACAACCAAACCCCATACGATAGAGGCCTGTCAAAGGGACATATGAGCCAACTCAAAGGACTCTGGTAGCCAAAGCTGGAATAATTTGAGCAATAGAATAAAGTAGCATTGGATTATAACCCAAAGTATAATATATATATACACACATACATATTAATATATATCCATCCACACTGAAAAATAAATGACTAAGTAAATGTGGGAGAGAAAGACAAATCTTTAGTTCAGAAGAATTTCAAGTAATTATGTCTATATTCCACTCTCAAAGAGGTGGAGCATAACACCCCACGTCTAAAGTGTGGGTACACTTAGTGACTTTCTTCCAAAGAGTATAGTATGGAAAGTGAGAACAAAAAGAGTGACTTAGCAGGGAATTATACTGAAAAAACACTACCTCAGCCAGGTGATCACGATCATCATCAAAAGTGGTAAGTGATGTTGATAGTATACACCCTTGATCTGATGTGATGAAAATGGCATTTTGCCTGTGTGGTCCTCTCCCCAAAAACTCATAACCCCAGCCTAATCACTGGAAAACATCAGGCAAATCCCAGTTGAAGGATATTCTACATCTGACTAGTGCTCCTCAAAACTGCCACAGTCATCGGAAAAAAAAGAGAAGAATCTGAGATATCATCACAGCCAAGAGAACCCAATTGAGCATGACAACTAAATGTAATATAGTATTCTGGATCAGATCCTGGAACAGAAAAAGAATATTAGATAAAAATTAAGGAAATATGAATAAAGCATGGACTTCAGTTAATAAGTACAAACATTAATAGATGATGTATCAATATTAGTCCGTTAGTCATAAGAAACGTAGCATACAAAGTAAGATGTTAATAATAGGGGGAAATGGAAACTATATTCTATCATCACAACTTTTCTGTGAATCTAAAATTGTTCTAAAAATCAAGTTTATTAAAAATTTTTAAAGTACAGAATAAAACAACCCATTACAAATACAGGCTTAATCTTTCACAAAAATTGAAAGTAAATAAATAAATAATGAAAATATACAGCAGCAATTTCGATTAAGCAGATTCTGCCAGAGATGCAAGAATAGAAAAAGTTAAAACAGACTTTAATTTTCAACCTTCTCAGTTCAAGAAAACAAACTGTTACAAGTGGGCAAGGAAAGAGAAGACCTAAACAATATAATTAGTAACACTGAATTTAGGAAAGCAGGTTAAATTCCATTTTCTGATAAAATTGTGCCTTCCAGTTAGGTCCCATGGACAGTTCTAAAAAAACTGACCAAATATTACAATGCAAAAATATCTATATACATTCCAAAGAGCAAATAACAGTAGCATCCTGTGGTCAAAATAAAACAAAATTAAAAACCTCTACTACAACAGAAAATGAAAAGGCCCTTGTATCTAAAATTTTTAAAAACATATAGCTCTATTAAATTATTCTTAGATCAAAAAAATGTGCAATT